CTGTAGCCCCCTTTCAACACTGGAAGGCTACTAGAAGGTCCCCTTGGAGCCTTTTCTTCTCCAGGCTGAACAACCCGAACTCTCTCAGCTTGTCTTCACAGGAGAGGTGCTCCAGCCCTCTGACCACCTCAGTGGCCTCCTCTGGACCCACTCCAACAGGTCCATGTTCTTCCTGTGCAGAGGACCACAGGGCTGGATGCAGCACTGCAGGTGGGGTCTCATGAGAGTGGAGCAGAGGGGGAGAATCCCCTCCCTTGACCTGCTGGTCACGCTGCTTTTGATGCAGCCCAGGAGACAGTTGGCTTTCTGGCCTGTGAGTGGGCATTGCCAGTTCATATTGAGCTTTTCATCAACCAACACCCCTAAGTCCTTCTTGTCAGGACTGCTCTCAATCCATTCTCTGTCCACCTTTATTTGTGCTTGGGATTGCCTAATCTCACACTGACTGCTTCAGAGGAACAAGAGCAGGGACTGCTTTAGGATCTGAGAAGGAATGAAATACTGAACCATTCCCAACTATGAGCCAGCTTTTAGCCTTTCAAATGTTGGTCAAAACTGTGTTGAAAGCTTATCTACAGGAAGGCTTCCCTCATAGTATGGCTGGTTGCAACACACTAAAAATATCTGGATTCAACTATATTGTCTACAATATAGATTTATGGACTAAAAAAATAACCAATTATTTTTCCTCCTTCTCCTGATATGTTTATCAGTAGTAACTTCAGTCTACATTATTTGTGGGGTTGTATCCACTACCTGCTGTGATGGCAGTTCTCCAAGTCCTTTCCTGCAGTGTGCTGAACCCATACCCACAATGGTTTAATTATCTGCCTTCCCCCATCTCGAGCTCTAGCAATTGCCTATTTTTTTCCGGCTTAAATGTAGACAGGTAGTTTTGCACCACGCTCTCCTGCATACTTCAGCAGTTAACATGTGCTGCACTTTTTAAAAAAGAATTTCTGTGCTACTTCATACTTTATGGCTTCTTTTATGGTCTTAGTTTCCTTCAGCATCTCTCCTTCTTTCCATTTAGCAGCCCCTCCTTTATTTCTGAAACAAAGGTCTGGTTCTAAACAGCTATAATGATAGCCTCTGGATGAACTGGGAGCTCACATTGGAAGAAAAGCCTGTGCAGACATTCTGTTCCTCTGCTTCCGTTACTGTTCATCTCAGATCCACAATATGCACCTCTTCAAGTCAAAACCTGTTTGATTACTAGAGAAATGATGCTGCCTTGAATGAATCCGCTCCAAAATAATTCCTCCTGAAGCAAGTACTCAAAAGTAATTGCACTGTTCCTTTATTCTCCCCTTCATGTTCATCTTCATCCTTGTTCTGATGCACGTGAAACGTGTCAGTCTGACTTGCATACCTGCTGTTTTCTGGTAGCTACAAGTCAAATGTGCATGAGCTGCTGCATATTACTGGGTTTCAGTGTTAATGTTAAAACTGTGAAACTGCTGTTGGTTATCTGGAGAATAAAAAAAACCTCAAAATGGAACCCAGTAAGATGAGAAAGGGTTAGTGGGGTTTTAGACTTTGTCTGCTAGGCTACAAATGCTGCAAAATGCAGCTGCCATGTGTTTACCAGGACAACTCCACTGCCACTGCAGGAGGGAGTATGAGAGTTATCCCACTGCAATGCTTGTGGCAACTCAAAGGAAATCTCCGCTGCATATAAGCTAACACATCTTTCTGGTTAGCAGGGAGGAGAGAATGATGTTGTGGTATGCATTCTCCTCTAGCTAGCATGAAATAGTAAATCTCCACTTGCTTTCCCAACCTTAAGTGCTATTGCTCAGGACAAAGCACATGGAAAAACTCAAGATGAGTCAGGAAAAATGAAGGTTTAAAATTCTGTTTGGCTTGGTAGGAAAAGACACATTTTGGCAGAAGTCGATGGGATGAAATACAGTGTTATGAGAATGGGTGACATCGTTTTGTAACACAGTCTCTCAACCAAGACAAACATGTTTCTCTACTTACTATCAACAGATTTAAATCTTCAGCAAAGTTACCACTCAGTCAGAAATATAGTGAATAACGATCAACCTTTCTCCTCTGTTACTTTAATATTTTATTGCTACTTTTTTATGCTATTAATTTGGAGCAGGAATAATGAGGTAAGATCATCTTTGTGGTAAAATGAAATATCACTAGAATTTATTTTATCCAGTATGTCTAGACATTTCCATTTGAGCATGGAATATGTTAGTGAAGAGGGACAGGGCTTTAACAGCATATGAGCTCCGTGTAAACATCTACCATTCAGGAAACAAATTTCATTGCTTCCAGGCCAACATTTTATTCTCCAGTACAAAGCAGTCTGCATACGTACATATAAAACAAAGATAAAATAGTATGTCCAACATCTATATAAATACAAACCTACAGATCAAACACCCAACTCCTACACTGTGTCAGCACCCTTTGAAAACATTTTATGAAGAGAGTTCTATTGTACTCCAGACATATTTGCCTGAAGAATAAACAGAGTAGCTCCAGATTAAAGGAAATGCTCCTTGCCAAAAACAGCACTAAAATTTTAATCAGTAAAATAAATATTCTTACTTCTTACTGTGTATACCTCATTGACTATTGTGTTATCTTCCACTAGCAGACACTCAAATTCCCTGCCACCCCGAGTCCTTCATGAAGCCATCCTTTCTTTCCATCTTTACTTTTACCAAATAAATCTCTCATGTCAGTGGCAACCTTACGGCCCCATATGAAAGGACACAAGCATTTTCATGTTAGAATTCCAAATTGAAAAACAAGCTAGTGTACGGCAGGTATCTTACATGGCTAAAAGAAACCCTGTGTGATAAAATGGCAATTACAGAGATCAATTACAATGTAGGTTTTCAGAACATGAACACCCAGTGGTTCTTGGTGGCAAGAGTCTACTTAAAACTTGACACTTTTCTGAAAATTAAATGCAGAAATGACAGAAGCAATGCAGGGAAAAAAAACATTTTCTTTAACAGCAAATGATCTAATGGAAAAAGTGGACAAGTCAAACACCCAATGCCCAAAAGCCTGTCTGTTTTTTTCCAGATAGAACATTACCAGCTAGAATTACCTCCTACTTCTATAAATATTATTTCCTTTGTATTAACCTTAGCTCACAGTATTAGTGAAATACTACGGACAGCCTCAGTGGTTTCTAAGTCAAAATTGCCCAACCGTTACTTTAAAACCACAGCATTTAAATCACAGTTCTGCATACTGCTGATTACACCCAACATCCAGTCACATCCTTTGTAGCACAAAGAAAACTAGTAAGCCAAAAGATGAACCAGTATTAAGAACATAACTGAGGCACAGATGTGGCTCCGTGGCTGTCCCCATCTCCCACCACCCCAACAATTGCACTGCTGAGCAGGGTAGAGAAGAATTGTTTTGCAGCAGTACTGGCCCAGAAACATTAAGCACATTCCAGGAGAATTGGAAACACAAAGAAGAAAAACATTGGTCAACTAGTAACATATGCTTTAGGAATAAAAGTGAGAGATGAAGTTATAGTGACCAAAGGACAAAAAACCCGCATAGGTCAGGTTTTGTATAAGCTTTCAAAAACTCTTCTACAAATTCCTTAAAGAATAGAAAAAATGATTTAAAGAGACCATGGAGAAGGATAGTGTTGACTATTTTAAAAAAGTTTGACTTTTTTTTAGTTACAGACTATCGCTGAAGCAGTTTCGAACTCATACTTCCAAAACACCTATTTTGAAAACAGACAGTTTCTGCTGTTTATGTTTTTTATCCAGCCTTAAGAATAAAATAATAAATTATTACAGCAATAGCTGCATGTAGGAAAATGTTTTCTTTCTGTCACTCATATGTGTATCTTTAGTAAGTTTCTAATGAAAAAGTTGCAAGTCTAGAAAATAACTAATAAAGCAATATTACGTGGCTTTGTTAGTAAATTCTTACTAAAAAATTGCAGCTAAATGCTTGTGAGTACCTTATTACCTTATATTGTAAGGTATAAAATGAAAATTTTTATCTTTAAAGAAGAGAGAACTTTTTCAAAATAAGATTTGTGTTACCACACATCATTAGAACATAAGAGTAAAACGTGGCAGTTAAAACCAAGCAGCTTGTGTATCTTTAAAATAATCAGACTACATACCCAGTTTTATTTTTGTCCAGTAAGCTGGGAGCCAAGGATCTGATATAGGCACAGGTACATATGAGCAGCAACACTACAGTCAGTAGACTCTGAAAGTTGAAGATGGCAGACTATAGAAGAAAATCAGAAAAGAAAAATTACATCTTTGCAGTACAAAAGCTGAAGAAAATGAGTGATGCCCTAGACAACACCCATCAAAAACAAAAAGGAAACCTACAATGCCAGTGAGCCAGACACTCTTTTTTAACAGCATGTTGCACACAATCCAGCCCAAGAAGGGTAAACAAACAGCAGGCAAAATGGTAACCCTACAGTTTTGCTCGCAGGCACCTGTTCCAAAGCCAGTTTGTGGAAACCCATTAGCAGCAACCTAAGAGTTACAGAAAAGGGATGTTCCTTTTTGGCCAAGAATAAGTGTAACTGCGGTTTGCAGTAATAGAATATGGTGGTGGTGGTGAACGTGGATGTGAAGAGTATTTGATAACTAAACCAGTGGCAGCCAAGACAGAGAATAATGAGATTGCTAATACACTGCTTTATGAAGACTACAGCCAAAATTCAACAGAGTTGTAGAAATATATGCAATTAAACCCACCTGAACTACTAAAAGATAACAGATTTTATTTTCAAATCATCTTTTGATTTTTAATTTAAAAACATCTTTACTATAAATGAATTTTTTAAAGTGATAGTTATACAGAAAATACTGCACGAAAGAAGGAATTGCCTTAGGAAGGAGAAATAAAAATCTGTAGTTTGACAGTTCAACTAATCTGCTTACTAGCAATAAGAAGAAACAATTCTTGAGAAACTGCTACAATATCTGTCTATTCGCTAAATTTTTAAATATCAGTAAAATGTCATAAATGCATCTCACAACCATTGCTTTTTAAACTGAAGTCTGTCTTCTGTGGCCAATATGTTCTTTAGTTATTAACTTGTAACTTATAAGCAACTATCATTGCTTATGTAAAGCAATCTTCTCCAGAAATAAACATTACGGGGGAGAGAAGGTACTCATGCAAGGACTGCTCTAACTCCATAACCAAGAACAAAATCTGGAAGAAAGATGGTTGATGCTGATTTTCAGCAAGTGCCACATCACCATTACAATAAATAATGCACCAGCAACATTTTTTTTCTCAATAGGTTCACTGGAATTTTTAGCAGAGATATTTGCCCATAGTCTTTGTGGCTTGTAGCTTCTAATAACTAGTCCCAAATCTGAGACTCAGGTTTGTCTTACAATGTGAAAATAATCCAGCTGCATGAAGCTGCAGTTTTATTGTTTCAGGTTTTTTTAACTTAGCATGTCTCAACTGACATTTTAGTCTGCTTAATTGTACCAGGTAGCATGCTCGGTAATTGCCTGCTTCAAACAGCCTTATTTTCTCTTTGCCCAGCTACCCCTATCTGCAAATCCTATTTAGTCTGAACTCCAAAAAAAAAAATGGCAAAGCAAATACAATAAACTCACTCTTCATTCTGGAGTTATGATGAATTTGTGTCTAAATATCTCATATTTTTCATACTGCTGAGCCCAGAAGGCTGAGTAGTGTATTTAATTAAGTGTAAATACTTAGCACTTATGAAGGGATATCACACTGCAGTTTCCTTCTTCAAGCAGAACATCAGAGCTCCTATTTCCATAGCGTGAGGCACATCTCTGTTGATCTAAGTGCACTTTCTTCCTGTGTCACAAAACTCTAATGTTTTGAAGGTCTGATAATCAAATTTCTCTAAATAGTTAAGGAGAATTATAAAAGCACATCACAATATTTCATTTCAATATTGCATTAACAGCAAATTAAGAGAGAAAAATTAGAAGCTCTTGTAGAAGAAAAGCCACTGGAACATCCACAACCCTTCTGATACTGAGATCTAAAACCTCGTAACAAAAAAAACCTGCAATACCTTAGCTTACATAAAAGCAAGTCATATGAAGCAATACCAGAACATGTATACAACTGCCAGCCTGAATACATGCACTAGACAGGGCTAGATAAACAAACTAATTTACATGTCCAAATGGGGTCCAACAGGCCACCTGTGGATTGGGAGCTACCCCTTAAGAAGCACCAGCATAGAGAAGCTCAAGGAATAACTGAACAACCCTGCCTCTGCAGCCTGTATGAGAGATTTCAGCATCCCTGAGGGCATGGCCTCAATGGCAGCATTCAGTGTTGGAGTGGGTGTGCTACTCTCCCCTTCTGCCCAAAGCAGAAGCCCTCTTGTATCAGCCATCCTTCTGCAGGAGTAGAATTCCCAAACCAGTTCCCTCATTCTCCATGCCCCTTCTATGACAATAGCCCAAACAGACAAAAAAGGGACGGTGCAAATGTGATTATTAGGATGCAGAAAGTAGGCAGGCAGTGGAGAAAGGTAAAGAGTAAATGGCAACTACACGCAGCAGCAGACATGCAGGAAGGTTTCTGCGATGAGTGAGAACATGGAGAGGGGACAATACACAAGTAGAGCGGTGATCCAATATCCAAAGCCAGCCCTCAGGTCCTCAAGGTGCATCTACTTGCTTTTCTCCCAAGCCACAGCGTTTGCTAAATCATGTTTAGTTTAGTATTTGAGCTTAGCTATCTGAGTTGTCATTTTTCTTCTATCATGTTGTAAATAATGGGCAGACTATTCACAAAGGACAAAAGACTGCCTCTCATTATCAGTAGACTCTTGCCTTTGTACTAGGCACAAGCTTTTGCCAACTTCAGAAGCCAGGAAACTCTCAATTCAACCCCAGAGACAACTCTTATGACCCACAAGAGGCAGTGTCTCCTGGCTCCTGTGGGTCTAGGAACGCGACGAGGCCGGATCCAGGAGTGTCTGCCTCTCAGCAAAGCCAGATACTCCCTATCAACTGATTAACTTGATCAGTCCTCCGGGAGAGACAGCTGCTCTCGACATCTCACAGTGCAGTGCCTGCCAGAGCTCAGTTCCCATGAATTCCTCCAAGCTTTCTCCTGCAGCTGCCTCCCAAGGAGTCTGGTGGTATTGGGTACTTCAACATATGAAAATGGCAAAAGGCCACACTTGCTTCCTCTTAAGCAGGGATTGTAAATGTATACTGATGAAATGTGTTATTAGTCAACCAAAAAGGGCTGTATATAATTGTTCTTTGTTGGGCTCTTCATGTGTTTCTCCAGATATGCAGCACAGAGCATTGCTGTAATTACAGACACCGTTCCACCAAAACGTGCTCTGCTCTGAATCACGCCTCTATCTATACAGTCACTTTGAAAGGACAGACATGCATATTTTTAAATTTGTTTACAATTTTAAACTGGAAATTTTTCTAATGTGGATGGCTTCATGTTCCACATCTGAAGTAATTCTTATGTACCAGCTGAATTTACAGAAAAGGGCAATTTACATCCAGCTGCTTGCACTGATGTAATTAAAAGCTGCTGTAAGAGTCATACATTACTCGGAATCCTTTTAAAAATACTGCATTCACACACCGAGCTATTTAGAAAACGTCATAATGTAAGTGGGTTGCAGTTCGTTTGGTTAAACTGGGTTCCTTTGATCCAAAAGTAATTAACTGGAATTTTTCAAACATGTCAACTGGCTTAATGTAGATCTTGTGAGCCTCATTCCCATTATAGAGAAATTGATGCTATTTTTTAGACTGCGTCCACATGCTGGTGAAAAGACAACTAACTTTCCAAGACTCAGACTGCAAATGCAGAAAAGAATCATCACTGGTATTTTATTCTTGTTTTAGACAGTGTAAGCAGTGGCTTTAATTATACATGCAGAAATCTTCTACATCTGCATTTGGCACATTTCTGACATGGTGGAAACACCACCTTAACAGTTACATTCTGTATTACTTAAGTAACTACACTTCCCCCCTCCTCCCTCTCCTGTGTGCTGTCTCCAGGTAGTTGTGGAGCATCATCACATCACCTGCAGCACTAATGAGGTATTGGATTCAGCAAAACTTGCAAGAGCAAGTTTTTTCATAAGTCTTAAGAAATTAAAGACCATGGATTTTAGCTTTGAGAGCTACATGCCCAAAGGCTCTTTTAAATCCTTCCCAAAATTAAACCTTACAGAAATTCCTCAATATTATTTCCCTGATCATATCACATCCTAGTAAAAATAACTCCCTATAATACAACACAGAAATAAAGAATGAATACTCTTGAAAGTTTTCTTGTGTTCAGAATAGCAGTGGTGGCATGTACTAGAACTACTCATGCAAATATATGGTAGTGAGAAGACAAACATTATAGCTAGAGACATTTCAATGTATTCCCACCCCAGTCTGCATCTGAACAGCGTAGCTGTCAGAATAGAGGACACTTGGCAAAACAGGGAGTTAAAAGGGAGAAACAGTTTCCAGTTGCCCCTAGAAGACTTGATCAGTGAGTCTGCTACAACACAAGAGCAGGAGATGTGATAGCTCCTTCTTCTGGGGTGGGGAAGAGAAGGAAGGAGGAGCTTGTGGAGGGAGTAAAAAGAAAACTATGGAATAGTATGTGGTAATTAAAGTTGATATACTAAACTACAAACTAAAGTTTAATATACTTTATTTAAAGTGCTGATTTTGAGTGAAAAATTTCCTATGTGGTTGAGAAAGGGAAAGCTGATGGGCCACAACATTCGCACAGCCCCTGGTAACCTGATTACAGACAATGTCACCCCTGCAACTCAGTCAGCATTAAATTTACTACATTTGGGAAAAAGATAAAAAAAAAAGGCAGCAGCTCAGAACTCTGCTTATCAACAACTCTTTTACTTTATAAGAGTATTTAATTCAATGTGCTGAAAAAAAGGCCACACTCAGATGATTGTCTACATTTTTAGTGATCACTGGTAAATGTGTATTCAGCCTCAGTAGACATAGCCACCATAGATGCACTGAGCCTAAACTTCTTCCTACAGTGAAGATAACAGCCACAGACAAGACTCTGTACCATATCTACATCTGCACTTTTTATTTGCTTCATCACATCTACATTCTCTGATTCAGATATTGTTTTCTTCCATGTCTTTGCAGACAGCACCACAGAATTACAAAACACTTCAGGATGCAACCCTTGGGTAGCACTAAAATAAATGACATCATAAGTTTTGATGCAACTCTGTGTCATGG